TCATTTTGCCATCTGACAAGCTTTGTCCCAGTGCCACGTCCTTGCTGTGCTCCAGTCCCTGCTAAAGAACATCCTGTGCTTTCCTCTGCCATCCAAACCGGGACAGCCAGGTCCCCCCTGCCCAGCCAAGCTTCTCATCACATCTAGGGGTGCCATCTAGATCCCTTCATCCAGATGCGCAACCCACAGACAACAGTATGGCCGTAGCACCCTCCCTTGCAGACTGACTGTAAGGCATCCTGACCTCCTCCTCTTTTCAAGCCCGAGGCTCAAACACAAAGCATTGAGAGTAATCTGGAGGTCAGAAGCACCCCGGTTGCAAACACCTCCTCAGCTGTGGTAGGCATGGACTGGGAGGTCTCAGCATCCGAACTCACACTCTGGTTTTGCAGATGGTGGTTATTTCTACAGTGAGAGAAAAATCAAAGCCTATTCCTGTTACAAAGTAGCCTACAGTCATACCAAAATTTGAGGAAAAGGTGTTTTGTGGCAAAGATGAAAAGATCTACTAAAGTATTTTGGAAACACTGAAGTGAACAATCTGTCCTTCACTTTGCCTGCTAGCATTAGTCCCAGAAGCTAACACTTCCTAAATTACACCTTCCCCCCCATGAAGTGACCAAGTGCAAGTGTATCGCTGAATCAGCACTGCTAAATAATTACAATTTTTAGGATTTTTTTTCCCTATGTTGTCACCACTCTGCTCTTTAAAATTTCGATGAGTAACTCGAGGATTAGCAACATCCAGACTTTCTCCACAAGTCCTCCCCCGTTTTATAACAAGTAACATTGCTCCAAAATGGCATCAGCCAAATTTATTACTTAAACTATGGGACCTCACCTGGGCCCACAGCAGGCTACGGGAGGTTTTCCGTCGGCTCAGGCCTATATGCAATATCACATTCTGCCCTCACCGTTTCCCTCGGTCATCCTCGACTATCTTCCTTCTTCCTTGCCGTGCCTCATCTTTAAATCAGGCAGCAAGTTTTTGAGGCAGAAATGGCATCTTTGTGCATGTGTTTAGAGCACCTATTCCCCCCCTCCCCCCAAAAGTCTCCAATGATAAGAAAAGCCTCCATGCAGCACCAGAAAGCAAATAAATAATCACCACATTCTTCCTACCATTTCTCATCTTGAGAAATATTTACTTTTGCCTGGCTCTGAGGATGCATCAGTCAGCTCCTGCTGACCTTTCGCAGGTACTTCATTTATCCTCAGCATCAATCGCTTGCAAAGCACCAACACGCACAGCAATGCAGCTTTAGTTCTGAGGTTGGTCAGGAGTGAGGTGAAATACTTGTTTCACGCCCTGCTTAAATGTAATGGTATTGATTTTCACGGGTCGGACCTGGTGGCTCCCCAGCACGGGGAGGGCACGGCGCCTGCCTCGAGACGTGCACACACGCTGCGGGTACCAAGCAAGGAGCCCCGTGCTGCGACCTCCCCGTGCTGTGCTGCCCATTAGTTGTCCTCCCCCTGCTAACAGTCCGCCAGCCTCCCACAAAAATCAGGGGAATCTGTAAAACCTGAAGTCCCCTGTAGGTTTTTTTTGACAGCTGATTCCCCCTCATCACCTTGTGCTACATAAATTTCCTGAAAGCATCCATGCACTTTTAGCTTTTAAGCCGAGAAGCGCAAATTGGGTCCTGGAAGCTCTTTGGCTGAAAGCTGTTTCCACCCAAATCCAGGAGATTTTTGCTTTTGCCCTTCAGGAGGCCAGGAGGCTGTGCTCAGCCCTCCAGCGAGTCTCCCCTGTCACCATGTCAGGACAGGAGAAATGGCAACGAGATCCACTCGTATGATGAGCAGCCGCTTCGGAAAAGCTCGGCCATGGAGATCAGGCTCTCAATGCGTTCATGACAGTGTATTTGCGTTTTGTGTAAAGATTTAAAAGCAAGTAACAGAATGGTACATCCGATTTTTGGACACCTACTAGGCCCTAGCCATGGCGACACTGGTTTTCACTCTATATTTAAAGGAATGGGAAAATTTGACAGACGCAAGTAGGGAGCACTCACATTTTCTCTAAAAAAGAAAGTTATTGACACTAGAAGAAAAGCTTTAAGCAGTCAGTGTTTGCCAGAGTCCCAGCTCCAACAATATTGCCATCTAATTTACAGTATTTTAAACAATCCTAGGGTTTTTTTTTCTTTTTAAACAACGCCACTAACCGCTGTACAATTAAAATCTAGATGATAAAATACCACTTGGGGAATAGGGGAGGTTGGGGAGGGGTTCATGGTTTTGTTGTTGGGGTTTTTTTGGTTGGTTGTTTGGTTGTCCTTTTTTACAAATAATTACAAATACAATTCCAAGAAGATATATTACATTTTATATACAGAACACACCATTTCTATCAGGGTAGGGTATTAAGCCTAGCTTTTATTTTTACACGGCAACCCTGAGATGTCGTCGTCTTCCCTTGCACAGAAACTATACAAGTTCATTAACTCCTTCTAGAAAAAAAATGGATTGCTATGTGTTAATAGCATCATCACCCTGTATAAATACTCAGAAAGGGAAAAGCTTAGTCTCTTCCCTAACTCCAATATTTTCATGATTTTTTTTTTTTTCCTGTTTCCGTGCTTAGTGGAAACTGATAACGGTGATTTTTCAAGTGTGCAACTCCTCTACTTGCCTTTTGGTAGTACAGGGAACAATTATTTCCCTTTTTTTGTCCTCCTTTTCAAACAAATGTGTATCAGGAACTAATAGGAAGCCTTTTACAAAGGTCTGTTTCCTGAAAATGTACTGTTAATTCATGAGCCACTTTTCACACTAAAGGATGCAGATGTAAGTGCTAGGCTGGCTGGAAATCAAGTAGCTTCTGATTAACCATGGGGTACTGCTTTCTCCACCCCACCACCTCTTCATACAAAAAAAAAAAGTTATTTTCAGATAAGCATCATCAAGTCCTTAACAACAGCGAATGCTATGGATCTTTACAGAGAACAGGACACAGAATGCATTTCACCATATTACCTGAAATTCGGATGTACTACACTTTTTTCTGTTCACCTGCAAGCTACAGCATGCCCAGTGTAAGAGTATCTGAAGAGCAAATTCCTCTGCGTGGAGCCTCGGCACGGATCCCGATACCCCTTCAACAAGCCCTGTAACTTTTTTAAGCCAACTTTGGAATAGCTGGATCGCTTCTTCTAAGCTTTATAATTATGCATGGGAGTCGTCAGCGTTAGCTGTCCATTCGGTGCGACTTCATTCCCATCGTCTTCCAACAGCCCCGAAACGTCAGCGTTGGGTATGCTGTCATGGTAGCTGCTAAAACTGATGTTGTCCTCTTTAAGTTCAATGGTCCAAAAAGGAGCGTTAAGTTTTCTGTTTTGATACTCACGGTACATGTAGACAGCACCCACAAAGCCCATTAGTAGGACCACAACAATGATGATAACTGTCAAAATAATGATGTTAAACTGAGTCCACGAAACATCTGCAAAAGCAGAGGTACTATTGTCAGAGGAACTTAAAGGAAATATAGTCTGTATAGTTGTTGGTGACAATGTGCTGTTTATCACTGCCGTTGAAAATGAAGTTGCCTTGCTGGCATTTGGAGCAGAAGTTGTAAACTCCCTTGTTTCTGGGCCCAGAGTGGCTTCTACAAAACAAATAAAAAATGATCAATAAAAATAGGCTAAGCTGGAAGCAAACACAAATGTAAGAGATATGACATTTATATCGCAGTTATTATGGCAATTAAGTCAACACTGCTAAGGCTGGGGTTTTTTTTTTTTCAAAATAGTTTAGAAAAGCAGTTAGTCAGGGTTGCGTTTGGGTTTTTTATATAATTCTATGTGCTGAGTGCTCACGGACTGCAGCATTCCTACGAAAAATCTGGTGATGGATGGATAGATGCAGTAGCCAAGGTTCAGTGTCAGACAAACGAGCTCACGATGAAAGCAAGCCGCCCAGTCAGGCTCATATTCAGCCCATGAAAACGGGGCTCTACCAAGCTCAGCAAGAGTTTGGACTCTGAACCTAACGAAGGCAGCATTGTTGTCTACCTGAGCTGTGCAATCAGGCTGGGAGGACACAGCGACGCCAGGAGCTTAAACCTCTCACAGGTAGTACATTAGACACAGGATTATGTTCACAATATTATTATTTCTGCCTTACCTGTACAAAAAGATCAAAAATGAAAAAGCAAACCACGAGTATTCTGCTGTCACGGTGTTGAGCAACAGGTTTCAATGTTTACCCCGTTTTACATAAAAGGGCAAAATAATCTCAGTTCTGCTTTTGAATGAAGAAGTCGTACACAAATCGCACAGAAACCCCCAGTCTGCATAGCCAGGAGCAGAAGGTAACCAAATCAACAACAAAAGACCGTGGGTGTTCTTACAAAGCTTTCAAACACAGCAGAATCCAGTTTGGATCCTGTTTTGGTTTCAGCTGCGGGCATATGTCCGCACATGAAGGATGAGAACACGGGAACTACCAGGACTGTGCCACAAGCTCCATCTTCCTCTGCAGCCTGTTCCCAGGCACAAAATAGCTGAGACTCTGCCTTGCGTCCAGCAGACATGGGATAACTCCCTTCTCAGATCTAGGAGTCAGTGACAACTTAACGCTGGAGATCTCATAAGTGGGATGCAAATTCATCACGCCTTCTTCAAATTGGTTGAGCTATTGGCCTCAGAAAGCACCGCAGAAGCCTGAGTATTAGGCTCCCAAATGTAACTAATAAAGCATTTTCTTCACAGGAATAACCTGATCTATTTTAGATTCTCAAGTCCAGGCAGCAGGAACCCTCCAGAACCTGAAGCCTCGGCCAACCAAAATGTTCTTTACACCTATTGCCCCATAGGACTCTCTGCACCCTCTTCCCCACTCTCTTTCTGTTATCAGAAAGGCAACTTCATTTTAAACCCACTTACAGCTGCGGCGATTACAGCTGACGGTGCTGTGCAGTATTGATCCAGCTCTCCCAAAGAGAATGTCTGCTAATTATGACTGAGAAGAAGAGTCACTTCCAAAGGACTAATTTTGCACTAAGTTGCATCTCCAATGGCAACAAGAGCTGGAAATATTCAGCACATCTCCTGCCGTGGGCCCTCGGGGGAACTCCCACGAGTTAACTTTGGGCTGTCATGTTCCCCATTCAGGCAATGGAGAAAAACTCCTCTGGAGGGGGCATCACACCCCTAATTTAGGCTCCTGCTCAGAGTCCCTCGCTGCAGCCACTCCTCTATTCTCTGCAGGTCCTGCCTCAGGTTGATAAGGATATTTGGGATGCTGAATGCCAGAAGGCATTTCTCTATGGGGTAACAGGCAGAATTTAGCAGTAGGAAGCATCGTGACAGGAGCAAAAGGTTCCTGGATACAGCTCTGGGAGAAGTGCATGAGGAATTCAGTCATCCTTTCCAAATTCCTTCATCAAGACTCAATTCTTGGCAAATCCTGCCACTAGCTATAATTAGAAAAAAACCCACAACAGAGACAATGGTTGATTCACCAGCAAGGAAACAGGACTTTTCTGGGCTTTATTTGTGAGTCAGCATCAGCTAAGTGCTGGCACGGGGGACATGGGCAAAAACATTTCCTGGAACTGATGGTAACGTCATGGTGAAACAGTACCGTGCTCTGAGCACCGACCGTCGCCTTTGGGCCACAACACAGCCGTGCCTGCTTCCGCTCACCGGGGCCGTGCCAGCCCTCCAGATGCCCAAGACCACCCCCTCGAGACCCCCAGCCATTCAGTCCATGGGCTGCTTTGGCAGCTCTGGCAGCAGCATCATACCCAGCTGCTTGATTGAAACGCTGTCTCTGCAAAGCTTCTGCTACCTCCTGCAATGAATGAGCACCGGCAGGAGCCGGGGCCATGCCAGCAGCCCACGCGCCAGCTCTCGGGGACGCTGCGATGCTTGGCTGGGTGGCACAGTGCCACGCTGCATCCCTAAGTTCTTGCTGCTATGCCTCACCGGCACAGCAGGAACACCATCCTCCCAGGGGTCGGGAACACTGACTTTGGTCATCCCACACGTCTGTTGAATATTCTCTCCATCAGCCTTGAAAGCATCAAAATCCTGGTCAGGTTTAAGACTCTGAACAGTCGCTGTGGATACTAGAGGTTGCTACTAAACATGCGGTCTTTTTCCAACCACAGCCACTTCAGAGTCTCAGACCCCAACAATTTCATCTGCAGCTCTGGTGGGTGATGATTTCACTCCAGAAGCCACTCAAAACCAAGCCACTCAAATGCACTAGTGGTTTATGAAAATCTTAACCTAAAACTAGCTAATGCAGAGTACCTCAGCATGTCAATTTTTAGGCAAACTCTGTGTAAGGAACTGGAAAGAAACTGTATGCCTTTCTAGTTGCTTAATAAGAAAGAGAAAAAGCATGTGTCAAGGAATCAGGAAAGCCAGAAGAGCATGTCCCATTTGAAAGGGGACAGTCTTTCCCCACATCAGGAATTGCCTCTAACAATGCCATTAAAATAAAATGAATGGTGGAAACTGCAAGTACACAAGCAAAGCCACACATATGGATTTTAATGGACCAAGGTCATGTAGCTCTTTGCACAAAGACAGAGCTGTGCAGGGGGAGGTAACAGATGACCTGATGCCATTTCCAGCCTTGTAACAGTACAGTTACAGCTAATGAGCATTCAACTTTTCTGTATTGATCATCTCCCCACGCAGAGGAGGACTCTGTGATTACACCTCCAGAGAGCAGCATGGGAGTGAAAACCCCATTAGCTTCTAATGGAAGATCTGAATTAAATATCTGTCGGTGACGAGGACAAATTTGGACCCAGATATTTTCCTGAACTCTGGGTTCTCTTATCTAATACATAACACCTATAATGTTTCCATGCATGGAGCTGGAGATCCACCTTGTGGACCAACCTCCTGAAAACCACTGAAGGAGCAACTTAAGAACCATTTTCTCTCGTTTTACTACGAGTCCTCCTGCTACGCAGTAGTGTCTCTCAGTACCAGAGCTAGTTTGCATCCGAGATGTCTTGGATGTGGACTGAAGACTGATGAAAGACCCCCAGAGCAGACACCAGTAAACTCTGGCATTAATTCATTGTGCAAGTTTGGATCTCACCTCTCAAAAACAAAACTAAAAAAGGGTATCTTTACTTGGTCTAAGTAGGTATCATTTGCAGAGTATGAGGAGTGACAAAATTTATTATAACCACCATTTCTTAGGAACTAGACAGTGCTATTGAATGGACTGGTCCATAAGGACAATCAACTGGGCACTAAGAGATGCCACAGTCTGGGAGTCAGAGTGGTCACAGAGCTGACTCTAACCCACGGATTTCAAGGCCAGTAGGCACCAACATGTTATAAAGGTCTGGTTTTCCGCCCTGTACCACAGGCCAGATGAATCTAAAGCAATCTGAACAATTAACAGTATTGCCTCCCCAGCCTCCGGGCAGCTTGTGCCCACCTAAGCCACAGGGCAAGCTTCAACACTGGTTTGAGGAGCACGTTTTACCTTTCTTGGTGCAGTTGGACCCGTCGGGGTCGCGCACGTAGCCGTCCTCGCACTCCTCGCAATGAAACCCAGCGGTGTGGTACAGGCAGCCGATGCACTCCCCGCTGTCTGGCTTGCACACGCTGGGTGACCGTGCTGGGTCCACGTTCCCGTTGCATTCGCATCTTACGCAGATGCTGTCAGAGTTGTAGTAGCCGTCATCGCACTGGTTGCAGTTCGGGCCAGTGTACCCAGTTTTGCATTTGTCACACCTTGGGGCAGTTTCGCCAGGCTCTAAAGAATACAGGAAGGAAAACAGGTATGTGCCACAGCCCCTTGCAGAGAAATGCCTACGGTGGGATTTGTTCTGCAGGACCTGACCCGCAGGTCACTGACAAAAATCAGCAGCCACGCAGTATTAGCCAATCTCAAACTGTAAGCTGAAAATACAACTTCTGAACTGCAGCAGTTTCTCTGTTCCTAGGGGAAAAAAGGCTTTGGGGGTTTCTGATGCCTTGTACCAGCCTCACAGAGCAGGCTCAGCACGCTGCTAAGTAAACACATTCTTACTCTGGAACATTTCCATCTCATGGAACTGTATTGGTGATGTTAGCAATCTGCAGGAACTTTTTGGCCTATATGAAGCCAGAGGAGGCTTGACTGCAAAACTGATTAAGGAAACAGCAAAAAGTCTTACATATGTTTATTACAGCTATGACTTCCTCTCTTGTTTACATCAAAATAGAGCAGGAAGATTGGGGAATCTCTGTCTGGAGTTCCACAGAGATGTTCAGAAGAGGACTCACAGAGGCATGGATGGCTATGTGGCACTGCTGGCCACCTCCTGTACCGCTCCTGGCTGCTGCAAGCCCAGCAGTTTCTCTCTGCAAAACTTTGCATGTTCTTCAGAGCAAATTGCAGCCTGTAGTGAAGCATTTCTGATGCCCTTGGCTGTGCAGCTGCTCTCACAAGAGGCAACGCAAGCACCTTCCAGCAAGGTGCCCCCATTCCCACGAGTGGGAGAGCCACGGGCTATGAACCACCTCGCTAGGCTGACGCACGCTGCGTGGCAAGTTAATTGAAACACATTGAGAAGAGCTACATTCAGCATCTGAGGAATTAGACCAAAATTAAAGCCTTACGTATTCGGCAGGTGCCAGTTGATGCCACAGTGGAGCAGGGGCAGCGATGGCAGGCGTGGGCAGGATGGGTGCTTCTGTAGAAGCCTTCCTTGCAGAGCTCGCAGTGCTTCCCCTCGGTGTTTTCCTGGCAGTGCAGGCAGGTGCCTGGGGAAGGGACAGGAGCACAAGCAGCCATTTAGGCAGCAGGAACTGGAGCAGAACATTTGGAGCAAGACTCTGCGCTCTCAATTATCAGAGCTCACAGGTGATTTCAGATGCCCTCTGGCCAAAACATGATCCTGGCCTCTTACGACCTTCAGATGGTCATGCCCCCCTCCACACACACATGTATGTAGTATGAAAAAGTAGGTAGCTCCAGCAGAGAGGCCAACAGCTCGTCACTCAAGAAGGTCAGCACAGGTCAACACATGCTGTCAATATTAAATGGTCCTTACGGAAAGGGGCTTCCATTTGCATCTGTGTCAGGGAGACGGGATCTTGATGCTTCAAATCCCTCGCCCTCGTGAGGGGGCCTCCAGTTTATACTTTTGCCCTTTTTTGTGTGCAGCCTCTTCCTACACCACAGAGCTGGTGGCCAGGGTAAGGAAGTGCCACTGTCCTGCTTTGGAGGCAGCCGGCCCCTGTCCCACCAGTGCGGCTGCGGCTCCTCCATCCCCATCGCAGGAGGAACATTGGCTACAGGCACAAGGCAGCAGCAGCAGCAATTACTGACCTTCCCAGAGGAACAGAGGAGAACTGGGGCTTCACGTGAGCCACCTCCCCTTCCTGGGGTAGCCCCTGAATCAGAAAATCGACGTGCTGTGTCTTAGCAGAGCCTGTGTCCTAATGGCCCTCTAAATTGCATTTTGATACTATTGTGACTAAAGAAAAATCTCTGTAGTTATAAAAACGCAGCCTCTATCAAAAGCCCCATCCATCAACAGGAACATCCTGTAACTCAGCGGGCTCCTTACCGAGGTGGCTGTGACCTGAGGGAAGCTGATTTGATTAAATCCCATGTACAAGACTCTGAAAAGGCAACAGCCACCTTCGAACAAACCAGGGCGGCACAGAGCAGTTTATTCACTGCATATATGAGCACAGACAGGAGATGCACTGAGCTAATCTCGCAGTGCTGCAGGGGTATAGAAGAGTCTCATATCGACATTAACCACACAAAAAAATCCTGAATTAGGTTAATGCTGACTGTTAAAAAAAAACCACAGCAGTTTTTCTTATTAATATTGGAACGATTTGGCTCCCTTGCAAGCCCAACACGCTGCACGGCTCCTGCTCTTCTCTTTCCACAGTGATGACTCCGCAGCCGAGCATCCCTGGGCAAGCCCGGCGTGTCCTCACAGCCCACCCTCGCACTCAGGGCAGGAACCAAACCCCGGCAGCTGCTGCTTTTGGGAAGTGGCCGATTCACCCGCGCGGTGGGGCTGGCAGCACCCCAGTGACTAAGGACATTTGCTTGGCATCCGCTCCCACACACTGTTTGCTCTTCACCCGACAGCTTGTCAGACACGAGCCGGTGGTTTTTGTGGGAGAGATGTCAGGGTTAGAGGGAAAAATTATCTGCTGGTCTCGGTTTCTCCAGTTGCAAACCTCGATCAGCCCTTTCAGCAGATGCCTGGGACAGACCGGCTCGTGGAAGGTCACTTTGCCTGATCAGCACTTAAGGGTACCTTGAACCATGCGCTGCAGGCGTTAATGGCGATATAAATCTGGAATCACACCTGCGTTTTCTGTGCAGTTGTAGTCTTTTCAGGACCATGTCTTTCCCATCAGTGGAAATTACTTGCATTTATCTACCCCAACCCTGCAAAATGGCTGCATTTCCAATGAGTCAGCAAGTTGCTCAGCCATGCAAAGCACGCATGGGCTTGCAACCAGGTATCACTGTGGAAAGCCTTAATAATTAATAACACTTCCCATCCTGATAATGCCCTCAGGAAGGATCAGACCTCACAGGACCCCGGCTAGGAAGAAGGAACCAAACTCATTGCACAGACCCAACATGGGGCACAAGGGTCGTGCTGGAGGAAGCGCTGTCACCTGGGGAGCTCTGGCTGCCCAATTTCCAGCCCAATAATTTTAAATATTCTCCTGGCCAGAGCAACGCTGAGTGAGGCCATGCAGAGATGGCTGCAGAGCCGGCAGAGGGAGCCCAAAGAACAGCATTAATGCAAAAGAAACCTTGAAAAATTTGACAAAGACTGTACACAGTAAAGCTGGGGAGGTCACACAAAGTGCAGTCTCCAGAGCAGGCTGAGTGCACTGCGTTACTTATTAGACATCAGATCTAATTTTTAATCAACTGTTCTCTGTTCTGGCTTTGTTGGGTTCCCCCACCCCCGGCAGCAAATAAAGCAGATGGAGGAAAATTTGTAAAAAGGGATATTTGTCAAATCAACAATAGGTCATTAACCAAAAAGAGGGTTTTTCTCTGCAATGCTGCGGTCAGCGCCGGACAGCCCCAGCAGCAGCACTGCTGGGCAACCCCATCCCGGAGGCGAGGTCTGCGCTGGGTTTGGGGGTTTTTTATTTAAATCAAGAGCAGGGAGAACATTGAGGGAGAAAAAGGAAGAGCAGATTATCTTACTCCTTCATAAAACCCACATACCCAGCTCCAAATCAGTAACACAGCTGATGTGTGCACAGCTTTAGGTACAACCTTACGTCCTTCAGTATTAGTAGGACAGAAGCACATGAAGTTCAGTATCGGAATGACTGCACTAATTCATCCTCAGGGGGTGCGGAGCTGGTGCCTGCCACCACCCATGATGCCCACAGAAACACCCTCTCTGCCGAGCGGGATCAGGGCATCGGCTGGGCACAGTCAGCACCACGGCCGCCCGTTCCCCTGCTGCAAACACACAGTCCAGGAGGGAACCAGCACCAGTGCGGAAATTGCCCAGCAACACAGTATTTGATGAGCTCTGCCTCTCCACCAGCTACGCAAAAAACCCTGGGATGTTTTTTTAAATTATTGCTCCTTTCTAAGCTGCTGGATAAATATTACAGAACTGCATTTCAGCCTGGAAGCTTTGATGAGAATCTGGATTTTGAAGCGTGAGTTTTGTTGCTACAGTGGGGATTGTGCAGGCAGTCACGGAGCATTGCTCCTCCGGGATCTCTCCTTCCAGCAGAGACGGGAAGGCTCTCCGGTTCCCCCCTGCCCTCCCATAAGCTATGCAAGCACAGGTGCTGCGACATTTGCACTCCATCAACATCTGCATGAGCAAGAGACAAAGAAACCATCAAGGAAAATGAACAAGGCAAATTTAGAAAAAGCGGGCAATATTAATTAGGTGCTGCCAGTTTTTTCCAGCCCTAATCATGTTCTCTGCAGCGACAGCAGCCACCCTACGTCAGTGCCGGTTCAGTAGATGTTTCCAGGTAAACAGCAGTTAAACAAAAGCTCCTTAAAAGCCCATGTTGTGTATTTGTGTAAGTGCAGGGAAAAATAGAGCACTGATTTCTGATAGAGGCTGCAGAATAAAGGCTCTGCACTGCAGCCCAGGGTAAATAACACAGCCTTCATTGCCTTCCTTGAGACAGGACAGCTCCAACCTTGCCATGCATTTTCATTTCAGTTTTAAGGTAAAGGCTCTGGGTACTCAAGGCTTAAAGATACAGATGAAGAGGATGAGAGCCGAGGTCTGCCAAAAAGGACAAAAACCAGAGCCAGAGAGGAAAGGTAAATCTGCACCCACCACGGTCACAAGGGGGAAGTTACCTGTTAGGCTGTCGCAGGTTTTGGAGTGGTTGTTGCACTGGCACGGCTCGCAGGTGCTTTCGTTAAACCTGTAGTAGCCATCACTGCACCGGTCACACTTCAGGTCCGTGACACCAACTTTACACTGGCATTGCCCAGAGCTGCACAGAGAAAAACCAACAGTGAAACCTGGATGTGCTGGGAGGCTTCCAAAGTACAAACCTGTGGTCGGTGCTTTGGTCCCCCTTTCCAGAGCAGGGAACTCTGCGCAGAAATGTCTGCTGGAAGCAGGACATAAAACCCACGGGCAACAATTCCCAAAAAGTGATGGGGAGTTCAAGAAAGGCTGAGTGTCTGCAAAACCAGTTGCCCGGACAGCATTTCCAGCTGGGCAGCGGGAATCATCACTCACTCTGGAAAGCCCTGGCCCAAAGCCATCCCCATGCATCAGCCCCCAGCAGATGCTCCAACAGCCCCCCTCCGGTCCCAACTTCATCAAGCGCCTGCGCCAGCCCTGGGTCCTGCAGGACACTTAGACACCCGTGCTTACGATGCCAGAATGATAACAGAGCACCCACATGGACGATCACCTTCCCTCCCCTATTGGCACCAAGCAGCACCTCCCGGATTTTCAGGCAACTCCCTGCTCGCCACCCGCTTTCCCGGCTCTCCCCCCAGAGCCGGCGCAGCAGCTCGGGTGTCTCGCTTGGGTTTCAGCCCAGGCGGGCGTCAGCCACCCACATGCCCTCCACTTCTCCATCATCCTATCTATCCCTTCCATGCAACGTCCCCAGGCCAGCCAGGCAAAACCTCTCTCCCCAGTCAACTTCTCCTACCCAGCAGGAGCCGGGGAAAGACAGAGAAGGTTTTTCCCTTCCCCTGTGGTTTCCACTACAGCTAACCCTAGGCAGGAGCCTGTTTACTTGGGCACCAAGGCTGACCATGCAAGGGTGGAGCTCTGCACAGTTAAAATAGAGGGGACTGGCATTAGCTGGCACAAGCAAATGCCAGGACGCTATAAAAAGCAGAGGTTACCCTCATTCCTTTGGCTTTCCATGCCAGTCTCTCCACACAGAGGCTTCAAACCCATCGCTTTCATAAGCAACTTTAGACACAAGCAGCATTTAGGCTCAAAGAAATCACAGGAATGGATAAAATGCTCTTTCCCATCCGCCCCCCAGCAGGGCGGCTGCCGGCTGTGGCTCATCCCACCCGCACACGTGGGAAGCGCTAGCGCCCGAGCCAAGGATGAGAGGAGGCAGAGGTGCCCCTCCGCACCCCAGACAGCCCTGGGGCAACCTACGGGAAACCTCAGCCCCTGCGTGCTGCACAGCGACCCAAATAAACGTGACCTGGGCTCCTCCTGGAGATGGATTTCTCCGCAGCTGCGGCGGAGGCGGCGGGTACCACCCATGGAGCACCCCCTGCGCACCGCGGGGTGCGCCCTCCCCTTAGCTCTCCCCCTCTATAACCTCCACCCTATTCACACACTTTTTTTAATTCCGTATTCCGGGGCCCCGTGTGCCAGCACGAAGATGATCTATTGTTCTCCCTCGCTCCTCCCGGAGAAGAGCAAGCAATGCACAATTTACTTCTAAAAGCCCCTAGAAAAATCCGTTGATTAAAGCTAATAGAGGGTGAGGCTCCAAATGGCTTGATGCACTGTCGATGTGTTGTTTTTAATTAAAATGCAGTAGATTGCAATGTTTGGGGGAAGACGTTGCTTCTGTTAGAAATTAGCATAATTTAGTATTTGTTGTTCGCTCGCTTGCCAAAGGAAGAGGAAAGGCACACCAGAATACGGAACTCGGCCCAAGTGGCTACACAATTAAATAGTTCCAGAAAATGAAACTTCAGGCATATTTAACGGAGTGATTACAAGAAAGAAAAAGAAACACGATGTTTCCTTGCTCTCCAGACCATTATCTGGAATTGCAGCCGGCAGATGCAGAATTCAAAGGGATGCTGTTACGCAGCTCAGTACGTTTGACTTTTAAAGAGCTTTTCACAAGACCTACCATTAATCCGAATGTTGTCACAGTGTATAAAACGAGAGCAAACAAAAAGCAATTTGTTTTTACTTGCTTCTGATCACTACTGGACAGATATTCCTGCAAGCAGGCAGGGGACTGGCAGAGCAGAGAAGGGAAAAGCAACCAAATTGGTGGGGATGAGATATTTAGCCTGGAAACTCATTTTCTGGGGATTCACCCTATGAGTAGGACTTTGCAGGAGCAAGCACCAGAGCTGTATAATCTTCACCATCCCAGGCTTCCTCCTGGAGACCAGGCTGCTCCGCTTTATGCTCTCCTGTCCTTCAATCAAGCCTTTATCTTAATGACACCCTCCTCTTCCTCCCGGCTGGCACCCTTCCACCCAGACTCCCGCCTCATTTCTTTAAAGAAGGTTTATTTCCCCGATGACTCTACTAGGGCTCAATGCAGCATTTTGGCGCAGCGTCCCTTGATTTTACTCGTTAGCTTAAAAATAACAGGAAAGCAAGCTATTTAAAAAAAAAAGGCAGTTTTGGAAAGTTGAGTTTTAATGCCTCTCAAGCAGATCTTTTCTCAACATGTTACACATGGCACAGAGCCAAGTTCTGCATGTGCAAGAATTAAATCACTCAGCAAATATAAAGCTTTGCCTGTGGTCATTGCTTCCATAGACTAAAGCCCCCTTACAACACTCCTTTTCATAGCTCCAGTCCAGTAAAGACTGTCAGACACTTTTTAAAGCAAAGGTCAATGATATAAATGCATTGAAACCACACACACACACAAAAAGTCCTGTTAACAGACCGATTGTGCCCATAAAAATCCAGAAACTTGAAAGAAAAGACCCACAGTTTAATACTTGCACAGCGAGAACTGAACTGGATTTTGAGGATCAGCCAGGAATTTCTTTTTTGGAGGGAAGTGGGGGGGAAGGGAGGAGGGAAACATTTTGATGCAGCAACATCAATTGCTCAACTCCATTTCAGATGATTATTAACTCTACCAAAGCCAGCCAATTTTTAGCTCTCACAAAAGAATTGATGGAAGGATGTGTTGGGGCAAAACCAGACTTCCACTGACAAAAGTCTCCTGCCAGCCTTGGTTTCTGCTAGATTCTACAAATATACTTACTTTTAAAGACCGTGTAGGTAGTGGGTATCACCATCACATCATCTATCAACTTTACATACATTTCCTAATGATTAAAAACATCAACAGCACGAAAGGCCCTGGCAGGAGGAGCAGGCAGTGATTAGCTGGCCAGTGGGGATAGGGGCAGACCACGTGCAAGGCTCAGATCCAACGCCAAGTGACCCAGCCCTCCGGGGGCGAGGGCTACACCGGGTTGGGGACCCCCCCAAGGCAGGAGCTCGTGCAGCTGATGGCCCTCAGCCCTTATCCCTTAGGAGCTCTCAATGCCTGCAGGGCGAGAGGCTGGGGCTGGACGGCACCCACCAGCGGAAGGAGGTGGCCACCCCGGGCAGCAGCACGCCAGCAGACGCTGAGGAGGGGGCTGTAAACAAAAGCAAAATACTGGGCAAGGGGGAACAGCCTGCACGCCAAAATGTCTGAAAAAGCCAGTCTGATTTCACTTCCACCACCCACAGCCCCCTTCTACTCCTCCCAAGTGGAAATAGCCACAGGATGCAGAAAATCCCATCACCCACCAAGTGATTTGAGCCACCAGTGGCAGCAAAACATTGCCCACAGTGGGATTTTACACTGGACTGCAGCTGTACAGCTACAGAAGTTAGGGGGATGCAACAGCAAAAACCCCTCCGTGCATTGCTCTGTGTGCTGTTAAACGGGAGGATTGCAAATAGTTCCGACCCCACTCAGAAGTGTCCTAGGAACAGAGCACAAAGGACAGGGAACACCTCCAAAATCCCACCTCGTGCCTGGCCTGAAGCTGCAGAACATCACACAGGTCATTTTCTGCCAGGTCTGATGGCTGGGGAAGGGCGTGCCGATGGGACGGGCTCTGCCTGAGAGCTCGGGCAATGCCCTAACCCTGCACCGCTCAGCACAGGACAGGCACGGGAACTCGAGCCCTCATCACAAGGGGGGAAAAAAAAAAAAAATAACTCCAGCATTAAAAGATCTGTGATCTGAGACAGATCACTACGAGCAGTTGCATCGGCAGTGGGTCTCCAGTCCTCCTCCACGGAAACATCCTTAACTTCGTGGGGACATGACAGACGCAAGATGGATGGGACAACGGAGGACTGCAGCCTTAAGGGCTGTTTGGAGGCATGCTGTGCACGGTTTCATGGTGTAACAGAAAACCCTTGGCAACCTCTAACCGTTTATTTTCTTCTTTTTCTTTTTTCCCCCAAGGAGGAGGGAAGGGAGAAATTCATTCTGAACGTTTTCCCAGCTGCCAGAAAAACCTGGATGCCCAGCTGCCATCGAGAGCCCCTGGCCAAGTCAGGGCCAGCCAAAACGCTACAGCACCAGGATTTTGTGCCTTTATTTTCGTAACATATGAGACTGGTAAGATGTTGGGGCAGAGTTTGAGAAGGAGGGAGCTCCCATGATCTCAAACCAGGGCATCCCATGCAGATGAGCCATGCAAAACCCCCCATGGCTTTGAAGGAATTGCTTTGTCAGATACATCTAACCGGTTTCACCTTGAAGCAGAAAGCATACGTATGCACCCCTCACACCCCAGCATCTCCCAGGACCACGGCACTTGTCAGGACCATCCCCAGAAGAGCCGGCAAGGGGCCATGCTGCCCTGGGAAGGAGCAAAGTGAGGTGCTCCTGCCAGCCCTTCCCTGACCCAGCGGCGTCTCCAGCTTCACCTGCCGGCCGTCCCCTCCCAGCCACTGCCTTGCAAACCTCCGGTGACAGATATGCCCATCACTTGTCCCAGCAGGGCCCGGAGGCGTTCCTGCAACATGTACAATTAACCACAATGACAAGCGTGCCGTATGAATGAGGAAAAAAAGTGTTGCTGAACTACGAGCATCTGTAAAACAACCCTGATGAAAAGGCTTTGTCACACTTTGATGGGGTAAGACAAAAGGATGCTGCACAAGATCAGGAGGATTCAGAAGAGACATCGCTAAAAATGGTGTGTTTCTCCAGCGAGCCCAGCTCCCTTTGTGCTCATTTTCTGTGATGTCTGACAGCAGCCAGGGGATAAGTCTCACATTTTCTGGGCA